GGGTCAGCCAAGGTAGGCACCTGCCACTCTGCCTGTCTCAGGACCATGTCTGCCCCACTGCACCAGCCCCACACTGGGGGGCACCCCTGGGACCTCAGGGCCAGGCCCCTCCCTCTCCCTACTGCAGTGCCAGACTCCCTCTTTCCTGTTTCTGTCCTTGGGCCAGCTGGCTCTCTCCTCTCCCTTCCCAGCCAGCCTCGGGACTCCGTGCAGCTGCCCAGGGCCTCCGTGGCTGAGCCTGGGGGTTCTCGGGACAGGATCTGCACCACTGGCAGATGTGGGTGTCCTCTGAGCTGTCAGAGAGGTCAGGGAGCTTGTGGTTGATGGTGTAGGGGCTGGGAACTTGGGGGATGTTGTTGTGGGAAAGCCAGAGGTCTTTGAACTTCCTCCTGGGCGTGCCACACCTGCCCCAATCAGAGCTGTGCTGCTGGGGGCAGGGGACAGGGGGTATCAAGCCTCCAGCCTGGGAGCCCCAGCACAGGCCAGGGTGACAGGCCGGGGGACACCTCGTCCCTTGGGTGTGCAGTTGAGCAGTGGCCAGGGTGAAGCCTTTGGTTGCTTGATGACCTCAAAGCCTGAGAATCCTCTGCACCCATCAGCCCTGGCGAGGCAGGGACGCACAGCCTCCTGCCTCCCACCTGGGCATTGTCACACCTGCTACTGGCTGAAGGTGGGGTCCTCAGTCCCAGATGAAGCCCTGTAGCCAGAGCAGGTCAGCTACTCTGAGTTCCGCCCGGCCGGGCTGCAGAGTTGGCCCAGGGCCCCACCTGCCACTCTTTGCTGGCCTCTGACTCTCCCTCTTCTGCTTTTCCCCAGCAGGGAGGGCCCAGACTTGCCTCCACGACCTGCAGCCCCCTGACCAGCGGAGGATCCCCTCTTAGATTTTTGAGTTTATGGCCGCCTGCCGGCCCTGGCTCCTCAGGGTCCCCTCAGAGGACTCCTGGGGTTTTTGAGTACCCGAGGGGCCTCTGGCGCCTCCTCCACCCATCCATTTTAGCTGCATGCTCCTGGTTCAAGCAGGGTTCTTCCTCCTGTCTTTCTCCATCAGGCCTGCTGGCTGCCACGTGAGCCTCCCAGGCTAGTGCTGGCCATGGCCAGTGGGTCCAAAGGCAGGGCCGTCAGGGAGGAGGGAAGTCTGAGAGAACCAGACTTGTGTCAGGACTGTGGGTGTGCTGCCTGGGTGGTGAGTGAGAGGTGGCGTGAGTGGCAGGGGAGGCCCTCTCCAGCCTCCACCCCGACTCCCCGGAAACTCTGGTCACCCAGTCCAGCTCCTCCTCCCATCTTCCTTCTCCTTCCTGTCCATGGCCTTTTCCAGAAAGCTCACACACATGCCCACCTGATGCTGCTTCCCATCCCCGCCCTGCCCACCAGTGCCGTGGCCTGGCTGCTCTTGCCTTACCGCCTGTCTCCCTCCTCTCTCTCCGCTGTTCTCTCTGCTCTCTCTCCCACTGCCGGACGATTGGGTCAGGCAAGGCTGTCCTGTCCTGAGAGCCCCAGGCCTCCCTTCGACCTCTAACCAGATCCCTCCTCTTCCTCAGAGACCTCCCTTTCCAAGCTGCCTGGACACCTGCTCTGTGACTTGACAGTGGCCCCTCATCCCCAAAGCCTCCCCTTCATCTGTGACTTTCTGTTGTGTGGTGAGCTCACACCTCCAGGCATGACCTTGGTGAAAATTTGTGCCCCTCTGCGGTCCTGCTCCTGCCCTGTTCTATAAATATCTATAAATACTCATAAATACACACACACACACACACACAGCAGTGCCCCTGGAGTTGCAGTGTAAGGAGACCAGCCTGGAAGAGGCCTCTTCACCCCACTGAATGCTCGGCACAGCACAGAGGCTGCCCACTGCTGGCAGGCCCTGCTGCCCTGTGCAGTGCCCACCCGCAGCACAGCAGACCCTGGGCCCTATGACAAAACTGCCACACACGGGGCCATGCAGTATGGCTCTATCTCTTTATTTCAAGATAATATCAGGAGCCACATCAACATGGTGCCACAACGCTGTCTCCGCCTCTTTCCTGGGCCATAGACTATCAATAAATACGTTTCCCAGCCCCAGATAATTATTAAGACCTCCTCCTCATTTGCGAGCTCCAGCCTCAGCTATGATACAGGGGAGGCCCTACCCCCAGAATATACAAAATATACACAAGTACAATATTTACATGGGGTGGGGGTGGGGAGGCCCACTGGAGGCAGCCTCTTCCCCTCATCAGGCCTAGAGTTAGCCCCAACTGTCCTAGGGCCTGACAGAATGCTGCCTACTGCCCTGCCCCAAAGTGCCTCCAAAGAAAAGGGAGTCCCCCGAATGCCTGCCTAGCCTGCCTCGGCCCTGCCTGGCTGGTGTGCCTGTTAGTAAGGGGACAGGCGCCCCTGCATCGCCTGCTGCAGCTGACCCTTTGAGGGCTGTTGACCGTGCCTCCCAGCTGGCCTGCCTGGGGGCACAGGCACGGAGTGAAGAGCTGGACCAAGCCTGGCCTCCCATTAGCCTCAGCTTGCCTAGGCCAACCTGCGATTTGGGACCGGGAGCCTCCCTTAATAAGGGACTGCCCTCGCCCAGAGGACCCTCATCCTATTGTGCCCTCCTCACCCATATACCCTTACCCATGATGCCCCTGGCCTGGAAGTGACCCTTGCCCATGATGATGCCCCTGCCCCGGAAGTGACCCCTGCCCAGCAATGCCCTTGCCCAGGTGCCCCCGCCCAGCAATGACACTCACTCAGATGCCCTCCTCTCCTGATGCCCTCATGTCTGTGCCTGCTGATGCCCCCACGTGATGTTCCCGGCCAGATTATGCTGGCCAGGCTGACAGCCCCAAGAGGGGTGATGAAAACTGCCTGGCTGACTTGCCCAAGTGGATGAGCACCCCCTGGTCTCGGCTGTTCTGGGGGCCACACAAATGCTGCCTGTGTTGGTCACGGCCTCTGAGGATGGAGCTGGAAATGTGGAGGCCCCAGGAGCCCCTGGGGTCCTCCAGAGAGGCAGCCTAAAGAGGCCTTTCTCTCCCCATCAGGGGTTCTGGCTAAGGAGGAAAGGGAACTGGGAAGGAACGGCAGGGGATAGGGTGGCTAGCAGGGGTGGAGTGGCAAGGATGGGGTTGGGGCTCCCCGGGCTGATGGCATCTGGTGTTAGACGATAATGTCGTCATGCTCGTCAGCCCGGTAGAAGAAGGGGATGCAGTGGTTGGTGCCCAAGCCTGGGCGCTCCCGGGGGTTCTGCATCTCCTGTGGCTGCTTCCTGAGCTGCTGCACAGTAGGGTTCTGCTTGTGTAGCGCCTTCTTCTCAGAGTGCAGCTGTGTGTAGGTGGCCATGTGCTGCTGCAGGTGGAACAGGCACTGGTCGCGCTGTTGGTGCAGACCCTGAGCCTCCTGGCTCTTCAGCTCCATCTGCAGAAGACCAAGGCGGGTGGGGGGAGCATGAGGGCAGGTGGTGGCTTGCTAACTGATTCCATTGGTTGCAGGGGAGTGGCACAGAGCCCTGCATCTCCTGCACCCAGCCTCACACCTCATCCCCTTCTTTCCCATCACTTTAACTTGAGGCCACACACGAGAGGGAAGGCATCATCTTTAGGGGAACACTCGTGCCTAATACTTTACATGCACAATCTCAGCTCATCCTCAACACCTGTATAAGGAAAAAATGCTAAGTTCCTTTGTCAGGAATCTGAGGCTTAGCAAAGGGTAGCTAAGGTGGGTGAAACGCCTCTCGTGGGACAATGATGTCCAGGCCTGGGAGGAGCCCGGGGCTACCAGCCCTAAGAGAGGCAGGACAGTCGATATGGAGGTCACCTGTCACTCCAGACTGGAGCAGCCTCCCTCCTGGGCCTAGCACTGCCCTCCCCAGAGACTTGTCCCCATGGCCCAGTCCTTCACAGTCGGGCTGAGCGTTACCGTTTCCTTCAGCTCCCCCAGCTTCTCCTGCAGCTGGCCGAGTTCCCTGGCCAGCTCGTTCTTGATGTGCTGCTCTGCCTGCAGCGAGAGGGTGAGCCGCATGTTGTCATTGCTCTGCACAGAGAGAAGCAATCCGTTGCCACCCAAAGTGGCTGCATCCGGATCCCAGCACCAGGTGCCCACCTCCCACAGTGCTGGGAGGGCTGGAAACTCAGCCCCTCTCCTCCAACAGACATTTGAGCAGGGTCCTGGCTCACAGGGCACCTGCCTAGGTCATCACCGTCCCCTTTGGTGGGGGGGGGGAGTGAAGGCCCAGAGGGAAGTGTTTTGTACCAGAGGCCTTGTCCAGGGAGGCCGAACATACCAGTCTCACTAAGCCATCCTGCAGCTTGGCCAGCTGCTCCTTGAGCTCCCGGTTCTGCAGGAGCGCGCGGCTGATGGTCACGCGGTCGCTCTGCTTGTGCTCCTCAGCCTGGCTGCCCCACAGCTCCGCCTCCCACTCCAGCTGCAGCAGCCGCTGTTCCTGCTGCTGGTTCAGGCGACTCAGGCCTGCGTTGTCCTGCACCTGGGCCTGAGCTGTCCCGCCAGGCTCTCCAGCTCCTTCTGCAGCTGCTCAGCCTGCGCCTGCAGCTGCTGTTCCACCGCCGACAGCCCCGCGGGGGAAGCTGGGGACTCTGGGGTGGGAGGCTCAGCTGAGAAAGGAAGCAGCCATCAGGGGCCCTGGCCTCTGGGTTTTCAAAAAGCTCCTGTCTTGGTCCTTAGCTCCTCAGGCCAACGGCTTGCCCCCACCCCGGTGCTGGCTTCTTGGCTAACAACTTTCCATATTCAGATGGTCATTACCCTTCCAAGCCAGGACACAGAGTGCTTGACCGTGCATGGTGGACAGTGGGTGCGCCACCCCTATTTACAGATGAGGTCACCGAGGCTCAGAGAGATGACAAGACTCGCCATCCACCAGCACAGACCTGCTTCCCTCTGCCACAACACCCCTCACCGGGGCACCCAACACCCATCCTGCTCCCAGGCCACCTCTGCCCCTGCTCACCCATCTGGCTCTTGAGCTCGGCCAAGGTGGTCTCCAACTCCCACACCTGACTCAGGCTGCACTCCTTTTCCTCCCTCAGTGTGCAGAGCTGCCCAGAGCACAGGGAAAAGAGCCATGAGCAGGGGCCACTGCCTCCCTCTAAACCGATGCTGCTGTTGTTTCTGTGGGGAGAGTCAAAGAAAGGAAGGTGACTAAGGATGTCCCCTCTACTCCACTCCCAGAGCAAGAGGGGGTGCGCAGGGGGCCAGGGCGGGATTGGCACGTTCTCAGACCCTATGGGCACAGGGCCTGTCCCGAGGCTCCCAAGGAAAGAGCATGTGGGTCTTTGCTGGTTTTTGCTCACAGCTATGGAACCGAGTCTGAATTGGGATTCTTCTTAGGGGACAGTAAGGTGAGCCTCCAGAAACAGAATGTGAGAAAAGACAGGCCTTCCGCTAGGTTTGGATTTACAGGGGTGTGCGCATCGTTCGAAAGCTCAGCACGTGCTACATAGGGGTTGGGGCTGCTCTTAACAGCGGGGATACAGGAATGAAAAGCACAGGTAAGATCCCTTCTCTCCCTGAGGTTGACGTCCCAGGGAGCCTGGAAATCTTGGATTCTTAGAGCTAAAAGAGACTTTTGACAACTGCCATTTCAACCTCCTTGGGAAACTCAAGCCCAGGGTGGAGAGGCGCTTGTCCAAACTCAAAGCTCAGGTCAGGGCCTGAGTCAGGGTGGGGACACGAGTCTCATGGCCAGCGCTGAATGAGAGGCCACAATCCCAGGGCTGTGTGGCCAGGGTGCAAGCAGGGGTGTCTGGAGAAGAGAGGAGGTGGAGAGGGCAGCGACAGGATGAGAGCCATGCTGCATGCTCCATGCTCTGGGGTCCCTCCAGCTGAGACCTGGCCCACCCAGCACCCCACTCTCCCTCAGCACCAGGGGCCCCCAGCCCCTTTCTTCAGAGCCCATGGGGAAACAGAAGCCCAGGGTGGGCAGCATGGAATCAGGGGACCCCACTGGGCTCTTACCAATTCCTCTATGGTGTTACTGAGTTGTTTGTTTGTTAGATAGCTGGAGTTCAGGGCTACTGCCAGCTCTTGGTACCAGCTCTGAGGCACATGCAGAGAGGGGGAGTTGCAGGAGGGTTTGAGGAGAGGCAGAGAGAGCAGTCATTAGGGCTGGGGTGGCACGGGCTGTCTCAGCTGGCAGCAGGGCACTCAGCCCCCGCTGTGGGAGAAGAGGGGGGCTGGCCCTGAAGAGCCACTCACCTCCAGATCCTTCATGTAGGAAGATGTGAGGCCCTCTCCATTGATGTAGGACATTGACTAGAAGAGACAAGAGCTCCCATGGAGATGCTACGTCCTCCACCGCCAAGTCCCTACCCTCAGACTACCTCTCCCCCCCCCCACCTCCACCTGGCAACTCTTCTCCCAGCCTGGCCTCTTCCTCTCATCTATGCCTACCCTCAGACTACCTCCTCCCCCACCTGGCAACTCCTCTGCCCAGCCTGGCCTCTTCCTCTCATCACCCTCTATGCCTACCCTCAGACTACCTCTCCTCCCACCTCCACCTGGCAACTCCTCTGCCCAGCCTGGCCTCTTCCTCTCATCACCCTCTATGCCTACCCTCAGACTACCTCTCCTCCCACCTCCACCTGGTAACTCCTCTGCCCAGCCTGGCCTCTTCCTCTCATCACCCTCTATGCCTACCCTCAGACTACCTCTCCGCCCCCCACCTCCACCTGGAAAACTCCTCTGCCCAGCCTGGCCTCTTCCTCTCATCACCCTCTATGCCAGCTTCTCCTGGGTCTCATCACCATACCCCTCCCTTCCTGAGTGATGCTCTCCCTATGCTTCCTGCGCTGAGATACATTGTCACCGTTCTCATGGCCATGTCCTTCATCTGTATGGCTTCCAAGAAGAAGCCGTCACCCAGCCTGCCCAACACGGCTCAGCAGGTCAGTCTATCCCAGGATCTCCCCATCTCTCAGGAATCCCAGCCTCCATTTCTGTCCTTTCCTCTCTCTCCTCCCTTCCTGAGTCCCAGTGTCTGGGGTACCTCGGAGACAAGACCATGGAGCTGCTGAGCATGTTGACGCAGGCTCTCCGTGGAGGACAATGTCCTAGGGACAGGCACACAGAGGTCAGGGGTGCAGGGGCTTGATGCAAAAGAGGTCCTTGGGCCGTGGCCTGCCCTTACTCCCATGGCTTAGGGACTGCTGCCCGCACAGGAAGACACTCACTTGGTCTCATCTATGAGGACAGGGCCATGGTCAGCATCATGGATCTGAGGGAGAAGAGAGAGTGATCACCTGATTTCCAGTAAGAACCTACCCAGGGGTGGCAGGAGCCCAGCTCCTTCCAGCAACCTGCCACTGCCACAAGCTCAAGAGAAAGCCCCATCTTGGCCTCCCCCACCCCAGTGCCGGGAAGGGTTCCTCACATTGGGAACCAAGCTGCCGGAAGAAAGGAGAAGAGAAGGCACAGCAGGCACAGTCCTCTGGGAAGGGTGCCTGGCACTGGGAACCAAGCTGCTGGAAGAAAGGAGAAGAGAAGGCACAGCAGGCGCAGTCCTCTGGGAAGGGAGATGGTGCAAGCATACAGGGGTAGCAGGCACAAGGACGGAGGCAAACCTGAGTTGGTGCCATGCTAGTTAGACTAGCGCCAGGGGGCGCTAAACAGCCAAGTAACACGGTGGCATCAGCAGAGGGTGGTGCAGGAGCAGCGCGGTCTTTGGGCACCTGTCAGGGAACAGAGCAGGGGGTTAGGGGCCGTGCAGGAGAGGAGGTGCCTCGCTGCCATGGACACAAGGGCGCAGAACAGGTAGGAAGATGTCGTAGCAGTCAGAGTGACAGTCACACATGCTGGGAACCACAGGGGTTGTGGGAATGGCTTGCCCAGGCTTGGGGACACGTGGCATCTTTTCAGGTGGCCAAAGCTCAAAGGAAGGGGGCTACGACCTCCATGGACACGAGGCCCTGGTTCTCCCTGGACCTCAGCAAGGGCTCTGACCTCCGGCAGCCGCAGCAGGCAGAAGGAACGGGAACCAACATCAGGGAGCATGGCAGTGTTCTTCCAGGAAGCCAGTCTCTGCCACACAGTGACCCTGACTCTAGGCCCCTGCTGGGCTGAGGCCGCTGGTGGTGACAGGAATCCCTCCAGGTAGCTCTCTGCCACTGCCCTCTCCTGCTCTCCACCCTTTCTCCCTGCCCTCCTCTCTGCCTCAACCATCAGCTGTAGTTCTCTGATTCAGGCCTTTCCAAGGAGAAATGTTGCCCAAGAAGCCCCTCCCTGCTTTCTGGAGATAAAATCAACCACAGCCGCCTCATGGGCATACCTCTCAGCCCCATCTCGCAGCTCCAGAAATACCTACTCTACCAAAAGAAGCCAGAAAATCACAGGTAAGATGTCTGCTCTTTGATTTGGCACATGGAGGTCATGGCGCCTCATTGCCAGAAAAACTGCTAGGGAACAATGCGGGGATCTAGTGCTTGGAGATGTGGAGAAGCCTCTCCTCCTTCTCCCGCAGCGGGACCCCCTCCCTCGGCCAGCCCCACCCAGCTTCTCCCCAGGCTCAGGCCTAAATCTCGGTCCATGCATCTGGCTCTAGAGACCACCTCATGTCAGCAGGTCAGACGGCCGCACACAGCCAAGATGGCTGAACAAGTGACAGCAGCCAGAGGAGCTGAGTGGAGGCAGGGAGTTGCTGCCTGCTCTCTGGACCCTTCAGCCCTGGCCTCTGAAAACCCCAATCGGCTGCCTCCTTAGAGTCCAGGCTGCAAAGCCTACAGATGAGAAAGAGGCGTGCTGACTCTGCAGTTATACCTTTAGAGAGTGGACCAGCAAATGGAACACTTCTCTCTCCCTCTCTCCCTCTCTCCCTCTCTCTCATCTCGGCTTCTCTATAACTGTGCTTTTCAAATACATAAATAAGTAAATAAAAATAGAATCTATGTACTGTGATTACTTTGTGAACAACCAAGTCACAATTCTACTTCTCAAGGTGGAGCTTCGCCTGGGCGTCAGGACACCAGATGAGAAGCCTGCACCTGGATTTCAGTCTGAAGGTGGAGCTTGGTGTGGGCATCAGGACACCAGATGGGAAGCCTGCAGCTCACTTCAAGACTGAAGTTGCAGCATCGCCTGGGTGTCAGGACACCAGATGAGAATCCTGCACCAGGCTGTCAGTCTGAAGGTGGAGCTCACCTGAGTGTCAGGACACCAGAGGAGAAGCCTGGCACTCACTTTCAGTCTGAAGGGGGAACTTCTCTTGGGTATCACATCAGATGAGAAGCCTGCAACTGGCCTTCAGTCTGAAGGTGGAGCATCGCCTGGGTGTCAGGACACCAGATGAGAAGCCTGCACCTGGCCTTTAGTCTGAAGGTAGAACTTCGCCTGGGTGTCAGGACACCAGCTAGAGGCCTGCACCTGACTTCATATCTGGATGTGGAACTTTGCCCTGGTGTCAGGACAGCAGATGAGAATGCTGCACTTGGATTTCAGTCTGAAGGTGGAATTCTTCTTGGGCATCAGGACACCAGATGAGAAGCCTGCACCTGGATTTCAGTCTGAAGGTGGAGCTTCGCCTGGGTGTCAAGACACCAGATGAGAAGCCTGCACCTGGCCTTCAGTCTGAAGGTAGAGCTTCATCTGGGTGACAGGACCCCAGATGAGAAGCCAGCACCTGGCCTTTAGTCTGAAGGTAGAACTTCGCCTGGGTGTCAGGACACCAGCTAGAGGCCTGCACCTGACTTCATATCTGGATGTGGAACTTTGCCCTGGTGTCAGGACAGCAGATGAGAATGCTGCACTTGGATTTCAGTCTGAAGGTGGAATTCTTCTTGGGCATCAGGACACCAGATGAGAAGCCTGCACCTGGATTTCAGTCTGAAGGTGGAGCTTCGCCTGGGTGTCAAGACACCAGATGAGAAGCCTGCACCTGGCCTTCAGTCTGAAGGTGGAGCTTCATCTGGGTGACAGGACCCCAGATGAGAAGCCAGCACCTAGCTTTTAGTCTGCAGCTGGAGCTTCTCCTTGGTATTAGGACACCGCATAGAAGCCTGCACCTGGCCTTCAGTTGAAGGTGGAGCTTCGCCTGGGTGTCAGGACACCAGATGAGAAGCCTGCACCTGGATTTCAGTCTGAAGGTGGAGCTTTGCCTGAGTGTCAAGACATGAGATGGGAAGCCTGCACCTAGCTTTCAGTCTGAAAGGGGTGCTTGGCCTGGTGTCTGGACACCAGATGAGAAGCCTGGACCTGGCTTTTGGTCTGATGGGGGAGATTCGCCTGGGTGTCAGGACACCAGATGAGAAGCCTGCACCAGGCTTTCAGTCTAAAGGTGGAGCTTCGCCTGGGTGTCACACCAGATGAAGAGCCTGCACCAGGCTTTAGTTTGAGGTGGAGCTTAACATGGGCATCACAACACCAGATGAGAAGCCAGCACCAGGCTTTCAGTCTGAAGGTAGAACTTCGCCTGGGTGTCAGGACACCAGATGAGAAACATGCACCTTGCTGCATGTCTGCAGATGGAGCTTCTCCTGGGTGTCAAGACACCAGATGAGAAGCCTGCACCTGGCTTTCAGTCTGAAGTTGGAGCTTCGCCTTGGTGTCGGGACACCAGATAAGAAGCCAGCACCTGGCCTTCAGTTGAAGGTGGAGCATAGCCTGAGTGTCAGGACACCAGATGGGAAGCCTGCTCCTAGCATTCAGTCTGAAAGGGGTGCTTGGCCTGGGCGTATGGACGCCAGATGAGAAGCCTGTACCTGACTTTCAGTCTGAGGTGGAGCTTCGGGGGGTGTCAGGATACTAGATGAGAAGCCTGCACCTGGCCTTCAGTCTGAAGGTTGATTTCACCTGGGTGTCAGGACACCAGACGAAAACCTGCACCTTGCATCACGTCTGAAGGTAGAGCTTCGCCTGGGTGCCAGGACACCAGATGAGAAGCCTGAACCTCACCTCACCTGTGGAGGTGAAGCTTTGCCTGGGTGTCAGGACACCAGATGAGAAGCCTGCACCAGGCTTTCAGTCTGAAGTTCGAGCTTCGCCTTGGTGTCGGGACACCAGATAAGAAGCCAGCACCTGGCTTTCAGTCTGAAGGTGGAGCTTCTCCTGGGTGTCAGGAAACCCGATGAGAAGCCTGCACCTGGCCTTCAGTCTGAAGGGGAAACTACGCGTGGGCTCAGGACACCAGGTGAAGGTGGAGCTTCAGCCTGCACCTGACTTCACATCTGAATGTGGAACTTTGCCCTGGTGTCAGGACATCAGATGAGAAGCCTGCACTTGGATTTCAGTCTGAAGGTGGAATTCATCTTGGACATCAGGACACCAGATAGAAGCCTGCACCTGGCCTTCAGTCTGAAGGTGGAGCATCGCCTGGGTGTCAGGACACCAGAGGAGAAGCCTGTACCAGGCTATCAGTCTGCAGGTGGAGGTTCGCCTGGGTATCAGGACACCAGATGAGAAACATGCACCTCGCTTTCAGTCTGAAGGTGGAGCTTCGCCAGGGTGTCAGGACACCAGATGAGAAGCCTGCACCTGGCTTTCAGTCTGAAGGTGGAGCTTCGGCTGGGTGTCAGGACACCAGATGAGAAGCCTGCACCTGGCCTTCAGTCTGAAGGTGGAGCTTCGCCAGGGTGTCAGGACACCAGATGAGAAGCCTGCACCTGGCTTTCAGTCTGAAGGTGGAGCTTCGGCTGGGTGTCAGGACACGAGATGAGAAGCCAGCACCTTACTTCACATCTGAAGGTGGAGCTTCACCCGGATGTCAGGACACCAGATGAGAAGCCTGCACCTCGCATCACGTCTGAAGGTGGAGCTTCGCCTGGGTGTCAGGACACCAGATGAGAAGCCTGCACCTGGCGTTCAGTCTGAAGGCGGAGCTTTGCCTGGGTGTCAGGACACCAGATGAGAAGCCTGAATCTGGCCTTCAGTCTGAATGTGGAGCTTCACCTAGATGTGAGGACACCAGATGAGAAGCCTGCCCTTCGCTTCACGTCTGAATGTGGAACTTCGCCTCAGTGTCAGGACACCAGATGAGAAACCTGCAACTCGCTTTCAGTCTGAAGGTGGAGCTTCGCCTGGGTGTCAGGACACGAGATGAGAAGCCTGCTCCTGGCTTTCAGTCTGAAGGGGGAGCTTCGCCTGGGTTCAGGACACCAGATGAGAAGCCTGCACCTCTCATCATGTCTGAAGGTGGAGCTTCGCCTGGGTTCAGGACACCAGATGAGAAGCCTGAATCTGGCTTGCAGTCTGAATGTGGAGCTTCACCTAGACGTCAGGACACCCGATTAGAAGCCAGAACCTCGCTTCACGTCTGCAGGTGGAGTATCGCCTGGGTGTCAGGACACCAGATGAGAAGCCTGCACCTGGCCTTCAGTCTGAAGGTGGAGCTTCGCCTGGGTGTCAGGACACCAGAGGAGAAGCCTGCACCGCGCTTTCATTCTGAAGGTGGAGCTTCCCCTGGGTATCAGGACACCAGATGAGAAGTCTGCTCCTGGCTTTCAGTCAAGGGGGAGCTTCGCCTGGGTGTAAGGACAGCAGGTGAGAAGCATGCACCTGGCTTTCACTCTGTAGGTGGAGCTTCGAATGGGTATCAGGACACCAGATGAGAAGCCTGTACCGTACATCATGTTGGAAGGTGGAGCTTCGCTTGGGTGTCAGGACACCAGATGAGAAGCCTGCACCTGGCTTTCAGTCTGAAGGTGGAGCTTCGCCTGGGTGTGAGGACACCAGATGAGAAGCCTGAATCTGGCTTTCAGTCTGAATGTGGAGCTTCACCTAGATGTGAGGACACCAGATGAGAAGCCTGCCCCTTGCTTCACGTCTGAAGGTGGAGCTTTGCCTCGGTGTCAGGACACCAGATGAGAAGCCTGCACCTCGACTTAAGTCTGAAGGTGGAGCTTTGCCTGGGTGTCAGGACACCAGATGAGAAGCCTGAATCTGGCTTTCAGTCTGAATGTGGAGCTTAACCTAGATGTCAGCACACCAGATTAGAAGGCAGAACCTCACTTCGCATCTGCAGGTGGAGTAACACCTGGGTGTCAGGAGACCAGACGAGAAGCCTGCACCTGACTTTCAGCCTGCAGGTGGAGCTTCACCTGGGCGTCAGGACACCACATTAGAAGCCTGAACCTCATTCACATATGGAGGTTGAAATTCGCCTGGGTCTCAGGACACCAGATGAGAAGCCTGCTCCTGGCTTTCAGTCTGAAGTGGGAGCTTTGGCTGTGTGTCAGGACACCAGATGAGAAGCCTGCTCCTGGCTTTCAGTCTGAAGTGGGAGCTTCGGTTGGGTGTCAGAACACCAGATGAGCCTGCATCTGCTTTTAGTCTGAAGGTGAGCTCACCTGGGTGTCAGTACACCAGACGAGAAGCCTGTACCAGGCTTTGCGTCTGAAGATGGATCTCCGCCTGGATGTCAGGACACGAAATGAGAAGCCTGCATCTCTCTTTCAGACTAAAGGGGGAGCTTCACCTGGGCGTCAAGACACTAGATTAGAAACCTGAACTTCCTTCACATCTGGAGGTTGAGCTTCGCCTGGGTGTCAGGACACCAGATGAGAAGCCAGCACCTGGCTTTCAGTCTGAAGGTGGAGCTTCAGAAGGGTGTCAGGACACCAAATGAGAAGCCTGCATCTCTCTTTCAGACTGAAGGAGGAGCTTCCCCTGGGCATCAGGAAACCAGATTAGAAACCAGAACCTCCTTCACAACTGGAGGTGGAGCTTCTTCTAGGTGTCAGGACACCAGATGAGAAGCCTGCACCTGGCTTTCAGTCTAAAAGTGGAGCTTCACCTGGGTGTCAGGACACCAGATGAGAACCCTGCACCTTGCTTTCAGTTTGAAGGTGCAGCTTTGCCTTGGTGTTAGGACTCCAGATGAGAAGCCTGAACCTCGCTTTCAGTCTGAAGGTGGAGCTTCTCGTGGCCATAGGACACCAGATGAGAAGCCTGCACCTCGCTTTTAGTCTGAAGTGGAAGTTTCTGTTGGGAATCAGGATAATAGATGAGAAGCCTCAACCGCACTTTCAGTCTGAAGGGGGAACTTCACTTGGGCGTCATGACACCAGGTTAGAAGCCTGAACCTCCTTCACGTCTGGAGGTAGAGATTAGCCTGGGTGTCAGGACACCAGATGGGAAGCCTGTACTTGGAATTTAGTCTGAATGTTGAGCTTCTCTTGGGCATCAGGACACCAGATTAGAAGCCGGCACCTCGCTTTCAGTCTGAATGTGGAGTTCAGCTGGGTGTCAGTATTGCAGATGAGAAGCCTGCATCTGGCTTTCAGTCTGAAGGTGGAGCTTCACCTAGGCGTCAGGACACCAGATTAGAAGCCAGAACCTCACTTCACATCTGCAGGTGGATATCACCTGGGTGTCACGACACCAGATGAGAAGCCTGTACCTTGCATCACGTCTGAAGGTGGAGCTTCACCTGGGTGTCACGACACCAGATGAGAAGCCTGCACCTGGCTTTCAGTCTGAAAGTGGAGCTTCGCCTGGGTGTCATGACACCAGATGAGAAGGCAGCACCAGGCTTTCAGTCTGAAGGTGGAGCTTCCCCTGGGTGTCAGGACACCAGATGAGAAGGCTGCAACTGGCTTTCCATATGAAGGTGTAGCTTTGCCTGGGTGTCAGGACACTAGATAAGAAGCCTGCACCTCACTTTCAGTCTGAAGGGGGAGCTTCGACTGGAGTCAGGACACCAGATGAGAAACCTGCCCCTGGCTTTCAACTGAAGGAGGAGCTTCTCTTGGGCATCAGGACACCAGAAGAGAAGCCTGCACCTCACTTTCAGTCTGAAGGTGGAGCTTCGCCTGGGCGTCAGGACACCAGAGGAGAAGCCTGCACTGGGCTTTCAATCTGAAGGTGGAGCTTCACCTGGGTGTCAGGACACCAGATGAGAAGCCTGCAACTCGCATCACCTATTCAGGTGGAGCTTCGCCAGTTTGTCTGGAAACCAGATGAGCAGACTGCATCTCTCTTTCAGTCTGAAGGGGGACTTTCGCCTGGGCGTCAGGACACCAGATGAGAAGCCTGCAACTCGCATCACCTATTCAGGTGGAGCTTCGCCAGTTTGTCTGGAAACCAGATGAGCAGACTGCATCTCTCTTTCAGTCTGAAGGGGGAGCTTCACCTGGGCGTCAGGAAACCAGATTAGAAACCTGAACCTCCTTCACATCTGGAGGTCGAACTTCGCCTGGGTGTCAGGACACCTGATGAGAAGCCTGCACCTGGCTTTCATTCTGAAGGTGGAGCTTTGGCTGTGTGTCAGGACACCAGATGAGAAGCCTGAACTTGGCTTTCAGCCTGCAGGTGGAGCTTCACCTGGGCGTCAGGACACCACATTATGTCGCTCCCCCTCTTCATGGAGGAACGACACTAAGCCCTGCCTAGGCTTCATATCCGAGTCACGGCACCATTATGTTGCTCCCCCTCTTCATGGAGGAACGACACAGGACCCTGCGCTGTTCTTTCGTCTGCTCGGCCCTCCCCGGGTTTGCTGCTGGTTCTTCCCGGGTTGGCTACCATCCCTTCCACCTCCGTGGAAGGGCAGTTCCCCCTGGCCACATTCCCCACTTCCACAGGGGAGCGGCACACCGTCGGCCGGCTCTCTCGGGGGCTGCACAGGTGTTCCCTTAGATGTTCCCCTTAGATGTTCCTGGTGCATGCCATCTCTCTCCTCCTATATAGTCCTCCTCCACCAATCCCAACTCTGCTACCCACACGCCGAGTACGCTGCCCTCCTCCAATCAGGAGCAAGTCCTACAGTTTATTGGCTGAACTGGAGGCAGCTGTGTAGAAGCTGTTTTCTTCTCTCCCAGCGCCATATTGTGGGAGAGCAGATGCATAGAATAAGTCTTAATTCCAGCAGCTTAGTCCAGTCCGGATTGCTCCCCACAGATCCCCCTTTCTTTTTATTTTTGCGTTGATACGCGCCTGTCTTCAGTGTCCCACGGCACACACTCTGCTCTGCTTGCTAGAGTTGCCACAGGTTCTTACAAGTCCTATCAATCAGGCAAACCGAATCCGGGTCCTCTCTTCGCCATGTTGTGAGGAGGTTTTTAGGCGCTGATGCGTGCCTGTGTTCGGTGACCTGCGGCTCATACTCTGGTCGAGCCGCCTGCTGGTGCTTACCGCCTTACTAATCAGGCAGACCGAATCCAAGCCTTCTCATTGCCATATTGTGGGGAGGCCTATTGGTGTTGATTCGTGCCTATCTTCGGTGACCTGCAGCGCATACTCTGGTCGAGCTGCCTGCTTGTGCTTATCGCCCTAATGAGGCAGACCGAATCCAAGCTCTCTCATTGCCATGTTGTGGGGAGGCCTTTCTATTTCTCTATTTCTCTATCTCCGGGCATTCCTATTTCTCCCATTTTACTTCTATCTTCCAGCATTCCTATTTCTCTCATTTTACTTCTAAACTTCTGTTTCTCTTATCCCTGCGGCTTCCCGCTCTCATTTTACTTCTAAACTTCTGTTTCTCTTATCCCCGCGGCTTCCCGGCGCCCGCCCCGAGGCTGCTTCTCGGTGGCTTTCCGGCTCTGAGCCGCTTCAGCCCGTGCCTCTCTCATCTGCGCGGCTTCGCACTAGCCCAGCGTTCCCTATCTACTTGAGCCCCGCACGCTCTGTCTGTGTGCGGCAGCCTCCGCGAGTCACACAGCGTAGCTTACGTCTCCGCCACTAGCATTCAATCTAAGTTCCCCGGGCTAACCTGGCGAATTCAACCCAGCTCACGTCTCCGCCCCCGATTTGGCTTCCCGTCCTTTGCTCCCCGGGTTAATCAGACGGATCCCAATCTGCCTTACGTTTCCGCTTCTGGTTTCAAGTTTTCGCCCCCCATTCCTGGGCTAACTTGAGAATCCCAAAGTGGCTTTCGTCTCCGCCTCGGTCTGCCCCCCGCGGCTTCAATTTCCCTAACATTTTTCTCTACCCGGTATGTTTCCCCAAGCTTTCCTCCAACAATACTCCTCCCTCATTTCTCCTGGCCTCTCCCCACAGTCCGCATCTGAGTCTGTTTGTTCTAGCTTTCACTTTCGCTTTCGACCTTAGAGATTTCTCCCAGCTTCCCCCTGTAGTCCGTATCCGAGTCTATGCCTAGGCTTTCAATAGCTTCTTCCGGCACCTTTTTCGTCTGGCTTTTCCCTAGGCTGTTTGCTAGTCTCTCTCCCCGGTATTTTCCCACTTCTTCCCGTTTCTTCCCTCCTAAGTTTCCTATCCTTCCTAGGTTTCCTATCCAAGTCACGGCACCATTATGTCGCTCCCCCTCTTCATGGAGGAACGACACTAAGCCCTGCCTAGGCTTCATATCTGAGTCACGGCACCATTTGCTGCTCCTCCACACGCGGAGGAGCCGCACCGGACCGGGCGCTTGTTGTTCCCTTTTTTTACAAGTCCTTTCTATAGTAAAGTAAGAATAAGTAAACAGCAAACTCCCAAAGCAAGAATGAGTAGAGAGAAATGAGAAAGAACGAAGTAACGAACTTCCCCGCGAACTCTCCAACGCACTCTCCAACCAACCCACACCACCATGCCGTCTCTCTCCTCCTATATAGTCCTCCTCCGCCAATCCCAACTCGGCTGCCCACACACCAAGCACGCCGCTCTCCTCCAATCAGGAGCAGCTCCTGCAGCTTGTCAAGTTGGTGAGAGGCAGCTGGGTAGAAGCTGTTTACTCCTCTCCCAGCGCCATATTGTGGGAGAGCAGATGCATAGAATAAGTCTTAATTCCAGTAACAGTCTAGTCCGAGTTGCTCCCCACACATTAGAAGCCTGAACCTCAATCACGTATGGAGGTTGAGATTCGCCTGGGTGTCAGGACACCAGATGAGAAGTCTTCACCTGGCTTTCAGTCTGAAAGTGGAGCTCACCTGGGTGTCAGGACACCAGATGAGAAGCCTGCACCTGGCGAGCTTCACCTGGGTGTCAGGACACCAGATTAGAAGCCTGCACCTCACTTTCAGTCTGAAGGTGGAGCTTCGCCTGGGCGTCAGGACACCAGATGAGAAGCCTGCACCAGGCTTTGAGTCTGAAGATGGAGCTTTGACTGGGTGTCAGGACAGCAGGTGAGAAGCCTGCACCTGGCTTTCAGTCTGGAGGTGCAGCTTTGCTAGGGTGTCAGGACACCAGATGGGTAGCGTGCACCTGGCTTTCAGTCTGAAGGTGGAGCTTCTCTTGGGCATCAGGACACCAGATTAGAAGCCTGCACCTGGCTTGCAGTCTGAAGGGGGAGCTTCGCCTGGGTGTCAGGATACAAGATGAGAAGTCTGAACCTGGGTTTCAGTCTGAAGGTGGAGCTTCGCCTGGGTGTCAGGACACCAGATGAGAAGCCTGCACCTGGCTTCACGTCTGGAGGTGCAGCTTTGCTAGCGTGTCAGGACACCAGATGGGTAGCGTGCACCTGGCTTTCAGTCTGAAGGTGGAGCTTCTCTTGGGCATCAGGACACCAGATGAGAAGCCTGCCCTCGCTTCACATTGGAAGGTCCAGCTTCGTCTGCATGTCAGGACACCAGATGAGAAGCCTGAACCTCGCTAATTGTCTTGAGGTGGAGATTCGCCTGGTGTCTGGACACCAGATGAGAAGCCTGCATCTTGCATCACTTCTGAAGGTGGAGCTTCACCAGAGTGTCAGGAAACCAGATGAGAAGCCTGCACCTGGCTCAGTCTGAAGGTGGAGCTTCAGCTGGGTGTCAGGACACCAGATGAGAAGCCTGTATCAGGCTATCAGTCTGCAGGTGGAGGTTCGCCTGGGTATCAGGACACCAGATGAGAAACATGCACCTCCCTTTCCGTCTGAAGGTGGAGCTTCGCCAGGGTGTCAGGACACCAGATGAGAAGCCTACACCTGGCTTTCAGTCTGAAGGTGGAGCTTCGCCAGGGTGTCAGGACACCAGATGAGAAGCCTGCACCTGGCTTTCAGTCTGAACGTGGAGCTTCGGCTGGGTGTCAGGACACCAGATGAGAAGCCAGCACCTTACTTCACATCTAAAGGTGGAGCTTCACCCGGATGTCAGGACACCAGATGAGAAGCCTGCACCTCGCATCACGTCTGAAGGTGGAGCTTCGCCTGGGTGTCAGGACACCAGATGAGAAGCCTGCACCTGGCGTTCAGTCTGAAGGCGGAGCTTTGCCTGGGTGTCAGGACACCAGAGGAGAAGCCTGCACCTCGCTTTCATTCTGAAGGTGGAGCTTCGGCTGGGTGTGAGGACACCAGATGAGAAGCCTGAATCTGGCTTTCAGTCTGAAGGTGGAGCTTCGCCTGGGTTCAGGACACCAGATGAGAAGCCTGAATCTGGCTTGCAGTCTGAATGTGGAGCTTCACCTAGACGTCAGGACACCCGATTAGAAGCCAGAACCTCGCTTCACGTCTGCAGGTGGAGTATCGCCTGGGTGTCAGGACACCAGATGAGAAGCCTGCACCTGGCCTTCAGTCTGAAGGTGGTGCTTTGCCTGGGTGTCAGGACACCAGAGGAGAAGCCTGCACCGCGCTTTCATTCTGAAGGTGGAGCTTCCCCTGGGTATCAGGACACCAGATGAGAAGTCTGCTCCTGGCTTTCAGTCAAGGGGGAGCTTCGCCTGGGTGTAAGGACAGCAGGTGAGAAGCATGCACCTGGCTTTCACTCTGAAGGTGGAGCTTCGAATGGGTATCAGGACACTAGATGAGAAGCCTGTACCGTACATCATGTTGGAAGGTGGAGCTTCGCTTGGGTGTCAGGACACCAGATGAGAAGCCTGCACCTGGCTTTCAGTCTGAAGGTGGAGCTTCGCCTGGGTGTCAGGACACCAGATGAGAAGCCGGCAGCTCACATCACGTCTGGAGGTGGAGCTTCCCGTGGTTGTTAGGATACCAGATGAGAAGCTTGCACCTTGCTTTCAGTCTGAAGGTGGAGTTTCGCATGGGTGTCACAACACCAGATGAGAAGCCTGCCCTTCGCTTCACATCAGTAGGTCCAGCTTCACCTGGGTGTCTGGACACCAGATGAGAAGCCTGCACCTGGCTTTCAGTCTGAAGGTGGAGCTTCGCCTGGGCATCAGTTCACCAGATGAGAAGGCTGCACCTCACTTCATATCTGAAGGGGGATCTCCCCCTGGGCGTCGGGACACCAGATGAGAAGGCTGCTCCTAGCTTTCAGTGTGAAGGTGGAGCTTCGCCTGGGTGTCAGATCACCAGATGAGAAGCCTGCACCTAGCTTCAGAGTGCCTGAGCCTGATTCCTAGCTCCAGCTCTGACTCCAGCTTCCTCCTCACGCCAACCCTTGCAGACACTGTGATGGCTCAAGTACACTGAGCTACTCGAATTCAAATATTAAGCTCTCAGGACTTCTCCGTGCCTGGGCCCTGCCCAGACTATGCCATTTGTTGTCTCCTCTGAGGCCGCAGAGTGATCATGGCCCCTAGCCAGACCTTCCTGGGTGGGAGCTGCCGTGATGGTTGACCAGCCACCTGTCCCTTTCCCTAGGCCCATCTGCAGATCAGCCCTGCTACACTGGCTAGGCCCTGGGTCAGTTAGACAGGAAGTGCCAACATTATCTGCAGGTTATGGCCTACCTAGCCCCATGTGCCTGTGCCCTTCCCCTCCCACAACTCAGGCTCCCTGCAGCCCTGAAAGGTGTTCTATGACCTCATGATGCTGCCTATGACCTCATCGCTCCCTCTGCCTCCCCCACTCGCCATGTGGATGAATATTACCCACCTTTAATCTTCACACTGGCCTCAAACGCCACCTTCTCCAGCTGCAAGTCCATTCAGAACCCACCTCCCTCACCTAGCCATGCAGCTGGCCTATTGCCGCCTTTCCCCTGCCCCCTCAGAGGACTCTGCCACCCCCATGGCACCTCCTGTCTTGTTCTTCTACTTCCACCACTGTGCATCCAATGCCGTTGCCATCCATGGGCCCAGTGAACATGGTTGAGCACCCCATCTGATTTGTCAAAGAGACGAGGGGCAGGCAGAGTGTCCTAGCACTGGTCTGTCTGGGTAGCTTCACATCCTTGCTGGTTAGTTCCTCTGAAAAGCTAACCTCCATCCTTGTGATTATAAAGCGAATTCATTTTCTCTTAATTCTACCTTCTCACTTTCAAACCAAAATGGAATTCATCAAGTTGAAAAATCACTCACTTCCATCTGGTCTACTTGCCCAGAGGGCAAAATATAACAGCATTTGTATGTTTTCAAATCTCTCCTGGTCTGACCGCACTGGGCATTCAAAGCCCAAAACGCCACAGACCTGCTCTGGAAGTTATTCCCAAATTACTGAATCTTTGAGGTGTGCCTTACCCTCTCCAAGATGATAAAAGACACAAGGGAAGGGAAAAAATGCAATTAGCCAAGCAGGGGAGGAAGCAGACATAAGCAGGCCGAGGGTTAATGGCAGCAACTTAAAACAAGCCAGAGGCAGAGTCTGCACCAAATGAGACAAGCCTCAGGGAATGCACATCTGGGAGGCAGCAAGCCAGAGAGGGGGGGTCTCGGCACTGCCTCCCCTTCCACTTGTCCTATGGGGCAGCGCTACCCCATCGGAACGGTTAAAGTCAGACACCAGCACCTTCAGTATGTCCTGCATCTAGAGGCGGTGAAAAGGGGAAAACAAGGGCAGGGGAAGACACAGAGACGTGGCTTAGAGAGAGGCGAGGATGTCGGGGAAGGAAGAGGTGGAGTCAGGAAACGGAGGCTGAGGAAGAGCAGAGATCCACACAATGGCCCCCCAGGCCATCCTCTCAGACTGGCCATTGCTGCCTTGCCAGACAGAGGGAAAAGTCCCCAGGCCCCAGAGTCACAGGAAGCGCAGTCACTGACCAGCGCGGCTCTCAGACCCTCCCTAGACACGACCTCCACTCTCCATGTTAAAACCAGACTTCTGCAGAAGGGTTCTCTTGAACAGGGAGGCTACAGCTCAACAATTAGAAGACACTGTTCCAATCCAATAATATCTGACAGCCTGAAACTGAAGCCCAGGGGAGGCTGTTACTTTTCTGAGGTCACCCAGAGCCAAGGCCGCATCCCAGTGCCTGGGGCTTCCTAAGGGGACAGCCCTATGGCCGGGCTGCTCTCACTGGCCTGGCTTTTCCTGAGGCTGGGGATGAGGAAGTCGCAAATACCAGCGACTATGAATGTTACAAGACCCTGTATTCTGGATTAATATGAGAACAGCAAAAACTCTCAAACTTTGTAAGTAAAACATCAGCCCTATCTGTTTCACAGAGGTGGAGAGAGAGGCCCAGAAAGCTTGAACAGTTTGCCTTACATCATATCCCTAGCAGAGGGAAAGGGAGCATTCAGACCCAGAATCCTTGACCAGTATCTAACACTCCCTTCCACCATCTTCCACTGTCCTCTGGATCCCCAACCCCCCACCCCCCATTGCCCCTTAGCCCCGAGCCCCCAGCAGCCTGGCCAGCCAAGACTCACATCCTCAGTTGAGTGACAACCCCGAGAAGTGGTTGTCTCAGGGCTACTGCCGTTTTTAAGGTTTTTCTTCTTTTTTCCTCCTGCAGGACCACCAGACCTGTTCTTCTGCTGATACTCTCTTAACTGTGGAAAGGAAAAGCAGTTGATTCTCTGGAATGCCCTAAGCCCCTGCAGTCACATCCTACTTCACAGTGTTCACAAGAACTCTCATGCCCACCACTGACTTCATGCCACCGACAACCCTTCAAGGGGCTGGAACGACCAGTTAATGTCTGAAGAACTGACAACATGGCTTCAATAAAAGGGAATGATGGAATTTAAAATCAGCTTCCAACTCTCACTTCTGGGGTTCTGCCAAGAATCAGCAGCTGCTGGGAGCAAAACCAGAGGTAGAGGTAGAAGGTTAAACATTATGTGGTCAGGAATTGCGCTTTGTGTGGTTTGGAAACAAGACATTGGGTCCTTTCTTCCATATCAGAACCTCGCAGAACTTCGAGGGGCACCCCGAGGAACCCTGGACACCGAGGAGAAAGAGTAGAACCCAGGCATTATTCCAGCCAAGGGCCCATTATGATGTCACGACAGGTTCCGACCCAAGCCCCAGGACGGCCTCACCAAGCTGCTCCCTCGCTCCTCTGTGGCAGTGCCCTCACCCAGCTTCAAAAACTCCCCTGGGGAGGGTTCAGGCTACAAAGTTTAGTCTCCCAAAGTCTGTTCCACAGACGGTCACACAGCTGTCACTCCAGAGAGCCTGAGTGTGGGGCACTCTGCTCCCAGGGTCAGGGAAATTGAATGGGAGCCTGAGAACTCGCACAACCCCCAAAATAAGTCTCTGGAGAGTAAAAACCTGGGGGAAAACCAAACCTGTTTTCCCGCGGTCACCCAGAAACACTGCCCACACCTCCAGCTCCCCTGGGGAACGGGACACATCTCACTGTCAGTGTCCGAGCTGAGGAAGGGGGTCCCCAAGTCCCCAGTCCCCTTTCAGGCAGAAGCAGAAAGGGGGTGAGGACTTAGGGGACTGGGCCAGGAGATCAAAGCCCGAGCTGGAGGTAATGCCAGTCCCCAGGGGGATTTGACCTCACCACATCCCACTCTGCCCTACCCACGCTCTGCGCAGGGGGAGGTGGGGCGCAGGGTAGGGACCCGAGTCCTTGGAGACTGAGCCCACAGATCCCAAGGAGGTCCGGCTTCGGGAGGCCGGAGGCGAGGTCTGAGGCTGGGCCGAGGAGCCCCAGGAGCCAATGGCCCAAAGTCACCCAGGGGCGACAAGCCAGGGCAGGGGCTGGGTGCTGAGGGGGCGGTGCTGGCTGAGAGGACTTGGGTGGGGGAAGCCAAGGGGCGTTCGGGCTCGACCAGAGTGTCTGAGGAGCCGCACAGACCCCGGGCACGGACCAGCTGTCAGAGGGGCAGTGGGCTGGGCCGGGGGGCGCGACCCCGACGTTTTACCTTTCTCTTGGCCGCAGCCAGCTTGCTCTGTCGGGTTTCCTCCGACATCGCGGGGCGGGGAGGGGGCGGGGCACATCACCACGATCCCGGCAACCACTGCGAATTGCTCCTGGCAGCTACCGCGCAGGTGTGTGACTGAGCCAGGAGACGCAGGTTCAGGGCAGAACTCAGCGGGGCTGGGTGGGCGTGGTCGCCACACTTCAAGCCCATTGGTCAGTGAGAAAGACGAAACAAAGAGGGGCGTGGTCCGAGGCGTCAAAATGGGAGCTGCGCGTGCAGCTCTGTCACCGCCCACTCTGGGGGCGGGGCGATTTCCCTTGGGTGCGCGCGCAGCTTTATGGGAGCTCTCTCATGGCGTCCGTCACAGAATTCTAGTCAGTCTGCGGACCCCAGAGGCCGCTCTCCGGCCCACGCCCTCAACCCACTTTCTCCACAGGCGCCCCCGAACCCGGGCCCTCGGACCCCAGGGCTCAGGAGGTGGGCGCGGAGCGCAGAGCAGGGGACACTGCATCAGTTCACGACCCCTTTCTGACTCCTCCCAGATGTGCCCCAGACGTTCTCGTTTCAGAAATCCCCTCGGGGACCCCTTTCACGTCCTCTAGACACTGCCCTCTCACACCCAACCCTTCCTCGAGGGGCCCCACGCTGACCCCGCCCAGGTGGATCCAGTCAGGCGCGCCCATGTCCCGGCGGCTCCTCCGCCCGTGCCCCCACGGGCCCCCTTTCCCCTCAGAGCAGCTCCGGGGCTTCAGCCTCTCCCACGCTTCCCTCCAGGGCTGAGCAGGACCCGGCCGCAGCTGCCTCGGGGCCTTCCGGTCACGGTGAGTAGTGCGTGTGCCCCCGACCCCCTGCGTGTGCCCGCACCCCCCGACCCTTGCGGATAGTTGCAGACCCCATCCCGTGAGGGTGTCTGTGCCCCCGACCCGTGAGAATGTCTGCGCCCCCAACCCGTGAGGGTGTCTGCGCCCCCCAACCCACGAGTTGCCTGCGCCCCCCGACCCTTGCGGATGGTTGCGGACCCCATCCCGTGAGGTTGTCTGTGCCCCCCGACCCGTGTGTGTGCCTGCACCGCCCAACTCCATGAGTGTGCCTGCGCCCCCCGACCCCGTGCGTGTGCCTGCGCCCCCCCGACCTGTGCGGATGGTTGCGGACCCCATCCCGTGAGAGTGTCTGTGCCCCCCAACCCGTGTGTGTGCCTGCACTGCCCAACTCCATGAGTGTGCCTGCGCACCCCCCTATCCGTGAGGATGTTTGCACTCCCGAACCGTGAGCATGGCTACGGACCCAGACCCCGTGAGGATGCCAGCACCTCCCGACCCAGTCATGGTGGCTGCACCCCCCCGACCCATGAGGAAGTCTGTGCCCCCAGACCCCGTGCATGTGCCTGCGTTCCCAGATCCACGTGGATGTCTGGGCCCCAACCAGTGGGGGTGCCTGCGCCCCCTGACTCCGTGCATGTGCCAGAGCCCCCAGACCCTGTAAGGATTTCTGTGCCTCCGAACCGTGAGGGGGCCTGTGCCCCCCGACCTGTGAGGAAGTCTATGCCCCCCAACCCCATGAGTGTGCCTGAGCCCCCCGACCAGTGAGGATGTCCAGGCCACCGAGCCGTGAGCATGGCTGTGGACCCCAACCCCGTGTGGGGGGCTGCAGTAGACATCAACCCCATGAAGGTGCCAGCACCTCCCAACCCCATGAGGGTGCCAGCGCCTCCCAACCCCATGGGGGGGGCTGCACCCCCGACCTCTTGAGGTTGCCTGGGCGCCTCGACCCAGGAGGATGCCAGCATCCACCGACCAGAGAAGATGCCAGCACCCCAACCCTGTGAGTGTGCCTGGGCCCCCAACACTGTGAGAATGCCCATGCCCCCTGACCCATGAGGGAGCCGGTGCCCCCCGACACGTGAAGTTGCCAGTGGCCTCCAATCCGTGAGTGTGCCAGCACCCCCAATTCTGTGTGGGTGCCAACGCCCTCCATCCCGTGAGGATTTCTGAGCCCACCCAATGTGGGGAGGATGTCTGCGTGCCCCCCACACAGTGGCATCACAGCTACCCCCAGCCCTCCCCCACCCCAACCACAGCCCACAGGTGGGCCTTCCTCAGTCTTCCTGAGCAGACAAAACTCTGGGAGGCTCCCGAGCTGTCTTTCAGAATCTCTCTCAGTGCCCCCTGAGGAGCGTCAGCCAAGGTAGGCACCTGCCACTCTGCCTGCCTCAGGACCGCATCTGCCCCACTGCACCAGCCCCACACTGGGGGGGCCCCTGGGACCTCAGGGCCAGGCCCCTCCTCTCCTTACTGCAGCTCCAGACTCCCTCTTTCCTGTTTCTGTCCTTGGGCCAGCTGGCTCTCTCCTCTCCCTTCCCAGCCAGCCTCGGGACTCAGTGTGACTGCCCAGGGCCTCCGTGGCTGAGCCTGGGGGTTCTCGGGACAGGATCCGCACCACTGGCAGATGTGGGTGCCCTCTGGAGCTGCCAGAGAGGCCAGGGAGCTTGTGGTTGATGGTGTAGGGGCTGGGAACTTGGGGGGTGTTGTGGGACAGCCAGAGGCTTTGAACTTCCTCCTGGGTGTGCCACACCTGCCCCAATCAGAGCTGTGCTGCTGGGGGCAGGGGACAGGGGGTGTCAAGCCCCCCAGCCTGGGAGCCCCAGCACAGGCCAGGGTGACAGGCCGGGGGTCACCTCGTCCCTTGGGTGTGCAGTTGAGCAGTGGCCAGGGTGAAGCCTTTGGTTGCTTGATGACCTCAAAGCCTGAGAATCCTCTGTACCCATCAGCCCAGGCGAGGCAGGGACGCACAGCCTCCTGCCTCCCACCTGGGCATTGTCACACCTGCTACTGGCTGAAGGCAGGATCCTCAGCCCCGGATGAAGCCCCGTAGCCAGGACAGGTCAGCTACTCTGAGTTCCGCCTGGCTGGGACACAGAGTTGGCCCAGGGCCCCACCTGCCACTCTTCGCTGGCCTCTGACTCTCCCTCTTCTGCTTTTCCCCAGCAGGGAGGGCCCAGACTCACCTCCACGACCTGCAGCCCCCCGACCAGCTGAGGCTCCCCTCTTAGATTTGTGAGTTTGTGGCCCCCTGCCCACCCTGCCTCTCCAGTGTCCCCTTTGAGGATGCTGGGCTTTTTGAGTACCCGAGGGGTCTCCGGCACCCCCTCCAGCCATCCATTTTAACTGCACGCTCCTGGTTCAAGCAGGGTTCTTCCTCCTGTCTTTCTCCATCAGGCCTGTTGGCTGCCACATGGGCCTCCCAGGCTAGTGCTGGCCATGGCCAGTGGGTCCAAAGGCAGGGCCGTCAGGGAGGAGGGAAGTCTGAGAGGGCCAGGCTTGTGTCAGGACTGTGGCTGTGCTGCCTGGGTGGTGAGTGAGAGGTGACGTGAGTGGCAGGGGAGGCCCTCTCCAACCTCCACCCCGACTCCCCGGAAACTCTGGTCACCCACTCCAGCTCCTCCTCCCATCTTCCTTCTCCTTCCTGTCCATGGCCTTTTCCAGAAGCTCACCCACATGCCCACCTCCTGCTGCTTCCCACCTCCGCCCTGCCCACCAGTGCCATGGCCTGGCTGCTCTTGCCTTACCACCTGTCTCCCTCCTCTCTCTCCACTGTTCTCTCTGCTCCTCTCTCCCCACTGCCAAGCTGATTGGGTCAGGCAAGGCCATCCTGTCCTGAGAGCCCCAGGCCCCCCTTT